TCATGGAATTTGGCCACCATCTCTCCCCTGTTTCTCAGAAGGTCAGATGTTACCAGTTAACAGCTGAGCTTTCTGTTTGGTGACCTGCACCATAACATGAGTGACTCCATTTTGGATTGGTCTCTTGGGGTCTAAAGCAGGAGCTCAGTCCAAATAAATGGTATCCCATAAATTTTAATTAACAGTATTTTAAATCAACTTAACTTTTTTTTACATTCCCTAAGTTCCTAAGTCCTGCTCCTACAGAATAGTATAATGCGTATGGCAACTTCTGCTCATGTTTTTGACAGATTCTGCTCCATTTGGCTGTTCAGTTCATAATAGTTAATACTGTTATCATTTCATTGTAAAGCACACCTCTTGGGAACGGTCTTCCTAATCATAAAACACAACATCCAAAACATTTGGTTTATATAAATAAAAAGACTGACAGATTTTCTACAAAAATGAAAAAAAGATCATAGAGGAAAAGATACCAGAAAGTGAGAAGGCAAGTGGCAAATAGTAAGTACTGGATTAATGTCAGCCTTTCACCAGTCTCCCTAATTTAATCTTCAAAACAGATAAGGTGAAGAACACAACACTGCAAAACCACCCTGTGAGACAAGGACTATAACTACTCACAGTTTACAGATAAGGAAAGTGAGGCACATAGAGTTAAGCAATTTGCCCTAGATCATACAACTACAAAGTAGCAGAGCTGGAATTCAAACCTAGGCAGTTAGGCAACAGGGTCTGTGCACATTATCACAATGTTATATTGTCTCCCTTACACTATACTACAGGATAAAACATTTTCAACACACAAAAAAATTAAAGTAGGGCCGGCCCGGTGGCGCACTATCAGCACGGCGGCGCTCCCGCCCAAGGGTTCGGATCCTACATACAGACCGGTTCCCGCTCACTGGCTGAGCGAGGCGCGGGAGCGACGCCAAGGGTTGCGATCCCGTTGCCGGTCCCCGGTCCAGTACGGGGGCAACACTGAGGGTTGCGATCCGTTGCCGGACACGGAAAAAGACAAAAGACAAAAAAAAAAAAAATTAAAGTATAAAATGTATAAGGAGCTGCTACAAATCAGGAAGATAAATATAAACAACCCAATAGAAAAAGGGCAAGGGAGAAGCACAGGCGATTCATAGCTAAAGAAATGTAAAAAGCCAATAAACATAAGAAAAGATGCTCAACTTTAGTAGCCATGAGGACAGGCAGCTAAAATACCATTTGCCCAACAGATTAGGGCAAAAATTGAGAGTTTTGATAACAGGGCTTGGAAGAGTATGTGAAAATGGACTGCTAGTGGTAGAGTGAAATATAACTGATCATAGAGGCTGACCAGTTAGCTCAGTTGGTTAGAGTGTGGTGTTATGACATAAGGTCAACACCAAGGTCAAGGGTTCAGATCCCCATACAGGCCAGCTGCCAAAAATAAAATATGTACCTTTTGTAAAAGGTGAAAGATTTGTGCGACATGAAGAGAAACATGAATGTAAAATACGAACTTTTTGAATGGTAATTTGGCAACATTCATCATCATTTTAAAAGCACTTCATCTTTGACCCGCAGTTTCACATACGGGATCTACCCTATTAACTACAGTCTCACGGGAGCACAAAGATGTATGTTCATAGAAATTCTCCTCACCAATCTCTACGTACAACCTGCTGAATTCAACTATGAGCACTATTGCGTCTGCTGGACCTGCTGTAAGCCGCTGCTGTTGCTGAGGAAGCTGGGGACTAAGCTCGTGCTGTCTGCCAACGGCTCCCGCTATCTTTCCCAATTACCTAGCGTGGACCTGTGTGTGAGAGGTCTGGTGACCCAGTCTGGCATGTGAGGGGTCTGGTGACCCACCTGAGCAAAGGATGGGAACAAGCAATTCCTAGAAAAAGAAAATCAATGGCCATTAAATACATGAAATGCTCAACTTCACTAATTACGAAACAAATGCAAACTAAAACAATGAGAAATGATCATTTATAAGATTGGTATAGAAAAAAAAAAAAGGTTGCCCGGTTTGCAAGAGTGAGAGGGACCACGTTCCTGAGCATTGTTGGTAAAGATGCAAAGCGGTGAAACCTCTTAGGAGGGTTTTGATAACCTTTTAAAAAAGAAAAATGTACACATCCTTTGGACCAACAATTATACTTCCAGGGAAACCCAAATAAATCACGCAAGCCTACTAACGTAAGTTGGAAGCATATCTGCTACTGTGATAAGATTTAATTTTAGGCGTAAGGCAGTTCCTAAATTTGGGTGCGCCAACGAGCTCAATGTCTGGGTTTGCCGTGTTGTTTCTACGGTACATACAGCTATAAAAGACCCGGATCACGAAAACAGAAGCACACATAAACAATTAAAAGGCTGACACTCAAGATTCTAGGTCCGAAACTAGAATATCTGGAGAGGCAGTCTGGCTCATGTAAACTTTTTTTCTTTGTTTGAGGAAACTACTCAGATCTGCCTAAAGCCCTTGCCCTGACCGGCAAGAGTGAAACTTACCGTGACAAACCTGGAAACACGTTAGACGAAAGACACGCGTTATCAAGACACAGGTCCCTCCCCGCGTCCAGTACCACGCTCTCGTGCCGTCAATGGCTCTTTGGGGATGGAGGGCTACTGAGCATGCGCGAAACATCGCGCAAGCGCAGAACGGCTACTTCCCACTGCCCGTGCAGATTCCAGACCCACGGGAAACTCCATTTCTCCGTATTTTCAACAGGCTTTCCGCAGGTGCGCGCCACCTGAGGTCAAAGCGACAGGTGTGCCTGCTTTTAAAGATTGGTTTTGATTTCAGATGTTTACCAGCCCATTTTGTACAGTTCACTTTTTTAAAATGTTCACTGGATTAGAGGCATTGCTCTTAAGTAGCTGCTGCTTAACTTTGAGCCCTAGGGATCCGTGGACTGGCTTCAGGAACTCCACCACACCTCCACCCCAGACGACTTTGTGCCGAATTGCGTTAGAGTGCTTACCTTTTTTATTTTTATTTTTTTAAAGCTTTCATCAGATTCTTAAAAGGATCTGTGTCCCAGAAAAGATTAGGAGCCACATGCTCCCAGCACTTTTTTCCCCCTGGCTGTAAATCCTGGGAGGTTTTCTCTCTTTCTCGCCTGGTGTACCACGTCAGTGGTTTTTTGGCTTTTTGAGGCATGGAAGAAAACTTACGATTTATATCGCACTGTCAAAATTAAAAACAAGCAAAACCGAAAATTGTTTTTTCATTCAGGCATTCATTATATATTTAAGGTGTTACACCGTTTCTGTACTTGTCTGTATTTGTGCGCGCGCGCGTGGGAGGGGGCGAATATGTAAAGTAATAACGGCAGAGTGAGAACACAGTGATTTTTTTCAATATTAAAAAGCAGGGCACTGTGATCAGAATATAACAAGTAATGGAACATAAAATGGCAGACTTAAATATCAGTTGCTGGGAAAATATAAGAAAATGGTCAGGGCCCCTCAGATGTTCAGAATCTTGCCAAGCATTTGCTGTAAATATCCATGTGTACCCAGGTGTTGCTTGGTTATTGTCTAATGTAACTGCGCATGTGCACCCAGGCGTCCTAGGTTATGGACTTAAGTATAAAGGATGCGTGGCTCTGATCCACCGCCCCGGGGGGGGGGGGGTCATGAGGAGGCCGCTACTGCTGCTGGAGGCTGTCGCTGCAAGCTGTTGCTACCAATGCCCCCAGGATGCCCCAAGAAGGCCACCACCGCTGCTACCATTGCTGAGGACTAAGCTAGGGCCATCAGCCAACAGCTCCCGGGATCTTTCCCAATTAGCTAGAAGGAGCGGCATGTGAGGGGGTCTGGTGACCCAGCCTATACAATGGGTGTGAGCCCGAGCCCTGACAATACAAATGGAAACTTAGTATAACTAAAATAATGAAGCATTTTGGCTTTAGTTATGAATTGCCTAGCCATACAATTAGCGTAGCTATTGCCCTAACCTGACACTTACATTGTTACATTTGTTATAACTGACATATTGCTAGGACTCACAGACCCCTCAAGCCCATTGTACAGACTGGGTCACAAACCATTCACAGGACATGTGGGTGCCCATAAGCAGTTACATTAGACAATAACCAAGCAACACCTGGGTACACATGGATATTTACAGCAAATGCTTGGCAAGATTCTGAACATCTGAGGGGCCCTGACCATTTTCTTATATTTTCCCAGCAACTGATATTTAAGTCTGCCATTTTATGTTCCATTACTTGTTATATTCTGATCACAGTGCCCTGCTTTTTAATATTGAAAAAAATCACTGTGTTCTCACTCTGCCGTTATTACTTTACATATTCGCCCCCTCCCACGCGCGCGCGCACAAATACAGACAAGTACAGAAACGGTGTAACACCTTAAATATATAATGAATGCCTGAATGAAAAAACAATTTTCGGTTTTGCTTGTTTTTAATTTTGACAGTGCGATATAAATCGTAAGTTTTCTTCCATGCCTCAAAAAGCCAAAAAACCACTGACGTGGTACACCAGGCGAGAAAGAGAGAAAACCTCCCAGGATTTACAGCCAGGGGGAAAAAAGTGCTGGGAGCATGTGGCTCCTAATCTTTTCTGGGACACAGATCCTTTTAAGAATCTGATGAAAGCTTTAAAAAAATAAAAATAAAAAAGGTAAGCACTCTAACGCAATTCGGCACAAAGTCGTCTGGGGTGGAGGTGTGGTGGAGTTCCTGAAGCCAGTCCACGGATCCCTAGGGCTCAAAGTTAAGCAGCAGCTACTTAAGAGCAATGCCTCTAATCCAGTGAACATTTTAAAAAAGTGAACTGTACAAAATGGGCTGGTAAACATCTGAAATCAAAACCAATCTTTAAAAGCAGGCACACCTGTCGCTTTGACCTCAGGTGGCGCGCACCTGCGGAAAGCCTGTTGAAAATACGGAGAAATGGAGTTTCCCGTGGGTCTGGAATCTGCACGGGCAGTGGGAAGTAGCCGTTCTGCGCTTGCGCGATGTTTCGCGCATGCTCAGTAGCCCTCCATCCCCAAAGAGCCATTGACGGCACGAGAGCGTGGTACTGGACGCGGGGAGGGACCTGTGTCTTGATAACGCGTGTCTTTCGTCTAACGTGTTTCCAGGTTTGTCACGGTAAGTTTCACTCTTGCCGGTCAGGGCAAGGGCTTTAGGCAGATCTGAGTAGTTTCCTCAAACAAAGAAAAAAAGTTTACATGAGCCAGACTGCCTCTCCAGATATTCTAGTTTCGGACCTAGAATCTTGAGTGTCAGCCTTTTAATTGTTTATGTGTGCTTCTGTTTTCGTGATCCGGGTCTTTTATAGCTGTATGTACCGTAGAAACAACACGGCAAACCCAGACATTGAGCTCGTTGGCGCACCCAAATTTAGGAACTGCCTTACGCCTAAAATTAAATCTTATCACAGTAGCAGATATGCTTCCAACTTACGTTAGTAGGCTTGCGTGATTTATTTGGGTTTCCCTGGAAGTATAATTGTTGGTCCAAAGGATGTGTACATTTTTCTTTTTTAAAAGGTTATCAAAACCCTCCTAAGAGGTTTCACCGCTTTGCATCTTTACCAACAATGCTCAGGAACGTGGTCCCTCTCACTCTTGCAAACCGGGCAACCTTTTTTTTTTTCTATACCAATCTTATAAATGATCATTTCTCATTGTTTTAGTTTGCATTTGTTTCGTAATTAGTGAAGTTGAGCATTTCATGTATTTAATGGCCATTGATTTTCTTTTTCTAGGAATTGCTTGTTCCCATCCTTTGCTCATTTTTCTATTGGATTATTCATTTTTGCATATTGATATATGAGCCCTTTACAAATTAGCTCATTTGTCTAGTATGTGTTACAAGAATTTTTTCTCATTTCGTCAATTATCCGTTTACTTTGTTATGGCATTTTGCTTATGCAGAAGTTTTAATTTTTATACTAATTTATCTTTTTTTTTTTTTTATGGATTCTTGCTTTCATGCTTAAAAGGCTTTTACCAAGTTGATAAAGTGTTTCACTCAAGTTTTATTCCCATACTTTTATGGTTTCTTCCTTTATTTTTTAAAACCATGTATTGACCTGGAAAATATTTTGATATAAAGAATGAGAAGATCCAATGTTTTTTTAAAAGGTTAGCAAATGCCCTGCCATTTATGCACAATTGATTTTCCTCATGATTTGAAAACACCTACTTTAGTGTGTTTGGATCTATTTCTGGATTTTGATTTCATTAATTTGTCTCTCTAGATAAGCTGGTTTAATTATTACAGTTTTATATTTTGATAATCGGTAAGAGGAGTATCTTTGTTCATTGTCCTTTTTTTCAGAATTTGCTCTGTTATGCTCACATTTTTATTTCCAGATGACCTTTAATTTTAGCATCATTTGGCCAGATTCCAAAAGATAAGTGATTTTAGTATTTTTTTAAACTTAAAAATATATCAGATTTTAGTATTTTGAACAGGAACTCATCGTTCATTTCTGGATCTTAATCCTCATATGCTCACCATGTTTACATGAGAAGAAACTGATCATTTGATTCCTGTTTTCCATCCTTCTGAAGGAGCCCTGTTGGCAGTTCTAAAGATTTCTTAAACGGATGGGGTGTTAGGTTGATTGCCTTAGTGTTACGCAAACTTTTTTCATATCTAATCTAAGCCTTAAGCCCAGAATGGTATTAAAAAGAACATGTACTGTGATCATAGGTCATATTGGTTATCATATTACAGAAAGGTCAGAATACTGTTGCAGAAGCTATAGGAAATTTTTGCCCTTAACATTGCCCTAATGTCCCTGCAGAATAACCAAAAATAAGGGCAATAATAATCATAATGGTTAGCCAATATTATTTGGTGCTTACCTTTTGCCAGGGACAAGTGCTTTCCATGTGTTACTCATTTAATAATTACAACCAGCCCATGCTAGCTCCATTTTACAGGTGTAGGCACAGAGATTTAAGTGGTTTTCTCAATGTCACACAGCTAATGTGTGCCAGAGCCTGGATTTGAACCCAGACAGTTGGATCTAGAACCTGTGCCCTTAACCACTATGCTGTTTTTGACTGAGCTTTCAAAAAAACATGTTCACAAAAGGTAGTGTTTTTGGACCCAGAAGGTATAAAACTAGTGGAGAAAGAAGTACAATGGGTGTAATTTGAACTGCTTAACTCCCTAACTTACAAGTAGCTAGTTTTGATTTTGCTCTTAATCTATTTGTACCATGAAAAGGTAATTCTCATTTGAGGTCCAGGAGGGAACACAATTAAAAAGGCTAATAGGAATCTCGTTCATAGATTTTGTGTTTTGATTACATGATTAACTATTTTCTTTATATTAAGAACAAAATTGTATTCATTTGTTTAAAAAATATGTAAGAAAACTAAGTGATTTGTGGAATCTCTTTATAAATCACTGTTCTGCTTTATATCAAACCTCATTTTTTTCTATTCTTATCTCTTATAAACATATTAGCTTTAAATAGTGGTTCATAAATATACTATGCATTTTGTGAGGAAGGTAGACAAAGCCTGAAAGTTTTTCTTTGGAAGAAAATACCATGGACTTGGCAGACATAAGGGGAAGTAGTTTAGTCATATACTAAGCCTGACAAGGCTGAAATGATTGCTTAGCTGGCTCAAAGGTAAATATCTGTGAAGAGTTAGAACGACACTGTACAATGAGGGAAAATGATCTTCCTGTTGCAAACGTAGTCTTATGTAACATGGAGGCTGAGTGAGCATACCAACACATATTAAAATATTCTCAGTGGTTAAAACATCTGGGTGGAGCAAATTAGTTGCCTGAAGACTACTTTTCCAGTGGATAATAAATCAGATATATGGCTGGTCATGGATATAAGGGAGTAGAGGTAAGGCCAACAAAGTATTTGCTAAATTATTTCTCCTGTTTTCTATTTGAGGTGCTCCTGAGTTAGTAATAATCATAAGTGGTTTATTCCATGTGTAACACCTAGTAGGCCAAGAAAACTAATCTAGCCTGATTATGATGTAATAAGATAAGCAGAAGTCAAATACTTAGAAACCTATTTTATGAGAGATTTTCAAAAAGTTCATGGAAACATTCGTGTTATCTTTTTTTTTTTGGTGACTGGCTGGTGCAAGGATCCGAATATATTAATTCCATTTTTCCATGAACTTCTTGAAGTACCCTAATTCCAGATAGCTGTTGGTCACATGGTATTCACGACCTTACATCAAGTTCAGTTCCATCTTCCTTCTGTAGGGTTTCAAACACTGCACTTGTTTATTGTCTCAATTATGTTCATAATTCCTGTGAATAGAATGTGGACGATAGAAGAAAGATGTAAAAGGGGTTAAAAAAGATATCAAATCAAATATTCAGTAAGAAATTGGTGGTAGAACAATAACTGTTCTTGAATTAAGGTTTATAATGTCCTTATAATTATATATATTCCCTATATATAGGGAACAATAATGTGTTCCCTTATTGTAGTGAAATAATGTAATGTTGACTTGATTTGATTTAGAGTTTTTGTCATAGGTTGGTTCCCCCGGTTCCCCAAGTTTCCCATAAACACTTTGAGACTGAGATGTGCAGGAGGTTTGTTAGGGAGTGTTCTTGGGGTCATTTGTGAAAGGGAAGGGAAAAGTAGGAGGGGTGATGCTGGGCTGTGATGCAGTCTCAACTAAGGCCCCAGTCAACTTCACTGGGTGTTCCAGAGCTAGCATGGCCCTTCAGAGTTGGGGTGGCAGCGCAGGTGGAGTAGGGAGTGGTCCTTAAACCTTCTTGTTGATAAGTTTCAGGTGATGTGACTCTTCTCAGCAGGTAAATTCCCAAAGAAAGGTGGTAGCTAAGGGCATCTGTTGGCGGCAGTCTCAGCAGCTGGGGAAAGAAATTCTTCAGTCCTGAAGGGAATCTGGTTGGTGCATCTCAGCATACAGAACAGTCACTACAGTTGCAGGACTTGAATTTGTATTTTCAAAGAGGAATATGCTTGATCCTAAAGGCTGTTTTTCCATTTGTTTCATTGGCGCTAGGGACTTCTCTGGCACTCATTACTTTTCCAGATGATTGGTCTTCGTTCCAATTAGTTAGGTTGCTTTTTCCCTTTGTATTTGGCTACTGTTGAGGACGGGGGTAAATAATAGATTAAATTTTGGGGCATCTCAGCATACAGAACAGTCACTACAGTTGCAGGACTTGAATTTGTATTTTCAAAGAGGAATATGCTTGATCCTAAAGGCTGTTTTTCCATTTGTTTCATTGGCGCTAGGGACTTCTCTGGCACTCATTACTTTTCCAGATGATTGGTCTTCGTTCCAATTAGTTAGGTTGCTTTTTCCCTTTGTATTTGGCTACTGTTGAGGACGGGGGTAAATAATAGATTAAATTTTGGGGGGGCCGGCCCGTGGCTCACTTGGGAGAGCGTGGTGCTGACAACACCAGGTCAAGGGTTAAGATCCCCTTACCGGTCATCTTTTTAAAAAATAAATAAAGTTTTATTCAGTATCTAAAAGAATTAATTTCAGAAAATAATTGTTTAATATGATTGAAAACAATTGTTTTCACATGATTGTTTTCACACTGATTTCAGAGAATAACTGTAATCACACACAAACCCTCCTCTTTTTAATTACCCCACACATATGCTTGTATTCCTTACGCTATTCATACCTCTCTTGGAGCTTACCAGTTTTCTGTTACAGACATTAGGTTACACTGTTTTACTGACAACCCACTAAAATATTAGCTCCTAACAAAAAAAAAGGCATATGTTACATCTCATATTTTTAGCCCCTAAAGCATCTTCCACAGCCTTTGCACATTGTATACCACACACACAAACTTCTTCACACGCCCAGCAGCCTGGGCTAATTTTTCCCAGGCTTCTGCAGAAAGAAAGCTATAGGATTTATTATGAGAGTTAATGCTTACTGAAGTCTTTTTTTAGTAAATATTTGTTAAAGGACCTACTCAGTTAGTTGAGGCAGCCCCAAGTAAGCACTCAATAAATATGTTGAATTGGATTCAAGTAAATAAAACCAGTAGTTGGCTTTGAAACTAACAAAACATTTTTCTCAGTTTTCTTTAAGGGCTTCTCATGGCTTCTAGTCACACTGTGCTGATGCGGTTGGTGGCCTCAGCGTATTCTGTTGCTCAGAAGGCAGGAATGATAGTCAGACGTGTCATCGCCGACGGAGACCTGGGTGTCGTGGAAAAGGTACTGAAACTCTCCTTTCATATTTTATTTTTCTTCATTAAGGTTTAGCTAAAGGATGTAAAACTCTGGACAGACATTAACATTTAAAATAACTGATAGCTCCTTCATGGAGACTGCAAGACCCTCAGTTCAAATGTGTTTCATTTCTGCTTCAAAAATAACTCCAGACTTCTGACATCCAAGATCTTGTATTTACATGACAGGCCTTTCTGACCAATGTCCAGCCCCAGGGCATTGTAACTGAGCTTCAAGTCCTGGAGTAATCTATCAAATGCAAAGCCATGTAATCCTTAATGAACTTGACATGTTTTGTAAAACTTGGCATTTAAATTAGTATTCCTTATATTCAAAGTGATATATTTTTTTTCCTCATGGAAAAGAAACCTAAAATAAGGTTTTTCTTTCCAGTACTGTAATTAAACACTTAGGTAAATTATCAGAAAGATTATAGTGATAGGTGACTGCTAAAAGAAATACCACCATGCATGAATTCCAATTCAAAATATAATCTTCAATAACAAGGTTTGGTTATTACTTTACATTACAAACTTTAAATGTAAATTTCCATATATTGACTTTTAATATTTAAATTTTTATCATAATGTTTAAGAAAGATTGTATTGTAATTTTGTCCAAGTGAGAAAATTATAGGATATGATTTATCATTAACATTTTAATGGTTAAAATAGAGTGAGTTAAGTCACTCATTTATGGTGTCAAGAATCTATCTAAGGTTGTTATCATAAAAATAAAAAAGAGCCATATATATGAATAAAAAACAACTTAGAAATAAGTTTATGTGAGCTAATTATAAGACACTCAACATAACTGCTTTAAAAAGTTAAGAATAAAAATCATAAGAACCAGGGAAATAAATCTCATTTCATTTTTTGGTAGATTTATGAGCCTGATCGTATAGGAAATAGATACACGTTATCTTGATTTCAGTAAATCATTTATTATAGTCTGTCATTTTCCTTTAAAAAAAAAATAAAAAGATACAAGCTATTCATAGTTATGTAGTTGACATTTCCTATCCCAAGTTACTTTTAGATGTATTCATAATTGGGTGAATAACATTACTCAAATATTTTAACTCACGATTCATTTTCAACTTGGAAAAGGATTATTGCTGATACGTCACAGTACTCCACTCCTTATTCTGTCCAGTTCTCTTTAATCATTGAATTACCTATAGTTTTAAACATTTATTGAATGTATCGTCTCAAAAATTTTGTGGAAGAAGATAATACAGAAAATATACTTATCAAATTTGTTGACAAAATGAAGCTGGGAGGGCTAGTTAATGTATTGGATCACAGAATAAGTATTCAAAATAGTTGCAACCTCTGAGAAAAGTGGACCAAATCCAACAAGAGTTTAGAAGAGGAATAATTACAAAGTCCTGTATTCATGTTCAAGTTACATGAGGTAATTCTGATTCAAATTTGTTTAGGAAAAAAAGGGTTTAGTTGACCACAGATATGCTCAATGATAAGCCAACTGTTTAATACAGCTGCTTCAGAAGGCTACTAATCTTATTGTCTTTTCTTTTTTATAAAGTTTCTTCTATTATGAAAAATAGGAAATGGAGAAAAATAGCAAGAAGTTAACAAAAATCATCCATCATCCTACCATTGCCTATATATACATATTTTTTAGAAGTTTTTTTTTTTTTTTTAAGATGACTGGTAAGGGGATCTTAACCCTTGACTTGGTGTTGTCAGCACCATGCTCAGCCAGTGAGCTAACTGGCCATCCCTATATGGGATCCGATCCTGCAGCCTTGGTGTTATCAGCACCACACTCTCCCGAGTGAGCCATGGGCTGGCCCTAAAAAGTTTTTTTTAATGCTGATTTTATTTATTTATTTGGTTTTGGTGGCTGGCCAGATGGGGATCCAAACCCTTGGCCTTGGTGTTACAAGGCTGCATTCTAGCCAACTGAACTAACTGTCCAGCCCCACCCATTACCAATATTTTGAGTCATTTCCTTCCAGATTTTTTTCCTTAGTATCAGTTATTTGCTTAAATTGATTTTGCATTATGATTATAATATATGTACAGCTTTGAAGCCTATAACTAAGGAGTAATAGAAATATAGTGTCCAAGTTAGGAAAAAAAAGTAATATTCTTATTGTCCTCTGTACTACTCAGGCACTTCTAGTACTTCATATTCACCTGTCGATACCTTAATTTAAAAGAAGCAGGGCAAAATCAGATTGTCACACAGGTATCGATGAGGTTTGGCACTATGTTTTTTTTTAAAGTTTTAAAATTTTTTAATTTTTATTGAATCAGAATTGATTATATGTATTTTGGGGGTTCAATGTTGATGTATGTTGATGAAGTCAATGTTATTAGCATATATATTGTCACAAATCATACTTATTCTTTATGCCTCTTATGCTATCTCTCCCCAGCTGCCTCTCCCTCCCCACCCACCTGTGATAACCCTAGATTTCTTCTCTCCTTCTGAAAGAGTAATGGTTACTCTGTTGATTTGTCCCATTGCCCAGCTTGGAAGCCTGGGGCACTTCCTGCAGCCATTTGGTGGTTGTCGCTAGGCTGGTTGTGGGTGTCCGGGGGGGGGGGGGGCATGGCTGTGGCCCCTGGCCTTCCCCACTCCCTGGTTTGGGGGCCCAGGGGTATTCGGTCATTCTAGCGTTTATAGATGTTCTTTGGTGGTATGAGACTTTTACTAGTTAATATTAAACTTTGTCTCTGATCTGTGGGTGTTTTGTTTTTTCTTTCAGTTCTGTATTGGATTATTCGCTGTTTCCACTACTTAAACTCTGCACTGGAACTAATTTGTTGGCCTTTGCTTACTTCTAAAATGGGAGAACTTCCTGTGGGGACCAGCACTTGAGCCCTGTGGTTAAGCTGAATTGCTGCTTTGCTGCTGATTTTCTGGGGAAGGCTTTTTGTGCAGCTCAGGTTTTAATGGTTGATTTTGTAGGTACTTCTGGGTCTCATGAGATCCAGTGCACCTGGGTTGTGTGGAAACTGGTCTGGGCATGAGTCTTTTCAGCAAACTGCACCTCTGCAGTTCTATATTCCTAACCAGTCTCCACTGAGTGGTCCTGTGCTGATTCCGGGGCAGATCAGCTGTCCATGCTGTGCCCCAATGCTCCCCCAGTGGGGCCATCTCCCCATCGCCCATACTCCAAACACTTCCCATGGGACAGGCTGTGTGCTAGTCCCTTGCAATAACTTACTAGCCTCTGAGTGGCTCCTTTTTTCAGTTGTTGTGACTTCTCGCTCCTGTGTGGGTTCATAGGAACGCTGTTAGTGGACTTGCTGGCCTGAGGGCCACCAAGGCCCTCTTCTCCCCTGTCACCTCCAAGCAACTTCATTCAAAGGGCACAGCAGTGGCTTTTTTTTTTTTTTCCTTTTTGTCTTTTTTCGTGTCCGGCAACGGATCGCAACCCTCAGTGTCGCGCCCGTACCGGACCGGACCGGCAACGGGATCGCAACCCTCGGTGTTGCGCCTGCACCTCGCTCAGCCAGTGAGCGGGAACCGGTCTGTATGTGGGATCCGAACCCTTGGCGGGAGCGCCGCCATGCTCCCAAGCAGCGCACTGTAGCAGTGCGCCACCGGGTCGGCCCACAGCAGTGGCTCTTGCCATCTCTTGCTTTGTGAGCTCACCAGGGCCAGCCTTTAAGCGGCCAGGGCTCGAAGTGGTGGGAGTGGTCCTTTCAGTCTCTCATCATGGCTTCTCTTGCCTTCATGAACTGCATAGTTCTCCCCTTCTCTTCCCCTGAGCTCTAGCAGCCCCAGCTTGGCTGTTGTTGCTTTTTAATAGTTGTAAATTGGTTGATTTCTGGGAGAGAGTGACACTGGGGACCGTCTAATCTGCCCTGTTGACCAGAAGCTGAGGTCTGGCACTATGTTAATAAAAAGGGCAGGAAATATTTGTCTTAGAGAAGAAAAGAGTTGGGATTGCTTTCCTCATGTAGTTGAATGGCTTTCAGTGTGTCTTTTTTTCTCTATAGCAGTGATCTCCAAACTTGATTGATACATAATTAATTTTCAAACTCAGCTATTCTTTTAAGTAGTTCCATTCAACAGATGTTTATAGAGCACCTACTGTGTGTGAGGTACAATTCTTTAGGGGATAAAACCCCTTTATGGAACTTACATTCTAGTAGTATAGTACTTTGCATTGAGATAACCAGCAAACTTCAATATAGCAAAAAAGTTTGATTTTCATGATTACTCCTTATCTCATTTCAAAGTATTATAAAAATTCTACTAAGATAATATGATCTGTAAAACCACCTAACCAGGCGTATATAAATTGCAATATATTGTAATTCTCTGAAATCAAACAATGTGGCTGTTAATTGCAAAATTTTCTACTATCTTCAAGAAGCACAGCTATCTGACCTATGTATTGAGTGAAGGTGCCACAGGTGAGCTGTATATTAAATTGCTGCGGTTCATCTTCATGTTTTTTAGATTTTAGAAATAGGATTCTTTCTGTACACCAGTGAATCACCTTGATGACCTCTTGAATTGTTAGGATTTGTAAGGGGAAGTTATAGAAGGATCCATATAAGAAATACCTTTCAAATAACTAAAGACACAACTTTTCAAGACAAAGTTAAATATTACGCATTTCCTGTCTCTTAACCTGTTTAAGCAAAAGGTTGATGTCCAGAAATCTTACAAAAAGGAATTCCTGAACTAGGGAAGAAAATATTCTGAATTGTTTAAAAACTCCTTTCCAAACTTTAACCACTATTAATCCTATGAGGAAAAAAAAAACCAAGCCAAGAAACTAATCGACTCATTTGGTGTTAAGTTCTATGAATCTAAAAACTGACAGTGTAATCTAAATTATATAGACACTCACGTATTAGGAATCAGAGGACAACTTATTTCACATAAGTTCTGCTAAAATTTGTATTCTTTGTTACAGACATGTGCAACAGACCTGCAGACCAAAGCTGACAGATTGGTGCAGATGAGCATATGCTCTTCACTGGCACGGAAATTCCCCAAACTGACAATTATAGGGGAAGAGGTAAGAGTTGTCAGAGACATAATACTTTTTGATCCCTATTTACCATATGCATTTATAGCTGACATTTTAATGATTTATATACCATTGTTATGACTTCAAGCATTACAGCCAGTGTTTAACCATAAAAATAATAGTTGCATTCCTTGGACTGGGAGGAAATAGCTGATTTTGAAAAATTTTGGTCCATTTCTAGGCCAGGTATCTTAATTCTTAGCTATAAAAGAATAATACTGTTATTATAACTGTTCCAATACTTATACAAACTATAAGATGGGGAATAAAATGGGTTTTGTTGTTTCTTTTTATTATTTATTTATTTTGTCTTTTTCGTGACCGGTAAGGGGATCGCAACCCTTGGTGTGGTGTCACCCGCACCGTGCTCAGCCAGTGAGTGCACCGGCCATTCCTATACAGGATCCGAACCTGCGGCGGGAGTGTCGCTGCGCTCCCAGCGCTGCACTCTCCCGAGTGCGCCATGGGGCCAGCCCTTTGTTGTTTCTTTTTAAAATTAAGCTTACTGGGCTGGCCCGGTGGCACACTGGAGAGTGCGCCGCTTGGGAGCGCGGCGGCGCTCCCGCCGAGGGTTCGGATCCCATGTGGAGACCGGTTCCCACTCACTGGCTGAGTGCGGTGCGGGCGCAACACCAAGGGTTGCGATCCCGTTACCGGTCAGTAAAAAAGACAAAAAGGAAAAAAAAAAAATTAAGCTTACTGGGCCGAGCCAGTGGTGCACTCGGGAGAGTGCGGCGCTGGGAGTGCAGCAGCGCTCCCGACGTGGGTTCAGATCCTATATAGGGATGACCGGTGCGCTCACAGTGCTCACTGGCTGAGCGCAGTGCGGCCAGTCTCAAAAAGGACAAAATAAATAAATAAATAAAATAAAATCAAGCTTCTCAAAGACTATAACAGTTTGAAAGTGGAGGAATTGACGTCTCATGTAACTGAGACAGTAGAATATCTGATGTCAGAGTCACTTGTTTAGATAAGTTTATAATATTTATTATATTGTCACTGAGACAAAGTGTACTCTGTAAACACTAAACAGCTTCAGTAACATTTAATGTCATCTCTGCCGTAGGACCTGCCTTCTGAGGAAGTGGATCACGAGCTGATTGAAGAGGGTCAGTGGGAGGAAATACTGAAGCAACCATGCCCGTCACAGTACAGTACTATTAAAGAAGAAGATGTACGATTTACGTTTGTACATAACTCTCTGTTAATCTGTGCCTTTTGCCTCAGTAAAGGAAATGATATTTGCCTATAAGACGAAAATTGGTAGCTATAAAATAGCAGAAGGAAATTGTAATCTTTCAGAGCCAGTGTAGAAGTATCTGGTAACCACATAGGATGTCTGAACTGTTAAAGAGTTTAGTTTCTCACCCTCTTAGTTTCCATTCCATTCTGAAACCTTATTAGAAATATTTTTAGGAAGAAAATAAAATTTTTTATTTAGTAGATTTGGAAGTGAAACATTTCATTGGTAATTGGGACTGGAAGGAGATGAAACAGGTTGTTACCTTTTATTTTTAGAAGGCCATAAAAATCATTCTGCTTACTTTTGTAGTTGCGAAAGTTAAACCTATGGTTTCATTCAGATAACCATGATACTTCTTGAGTTTTCTAATTTTAAATCGTTTATCACACATTCATTGAGTACTTACTATGAGTAAGGCACTTTGCTCTGTGGTATGGAGGATATAAAGAAAAGAAGACGTGGTGCCTTCCATCAGAAATATGCACTCTCGGGCCGGCCTGGTGGCGCACTGCTGCAGTGCGCCGCTTGGGAAGCGTGGCGGCGCTCCCGCCGAGGGTTCGGATCCCACATACAGACCGGCCGCTCACTGGCTGAGCGAGGTGCGGGAGCGACACCGAGGGTTGCGATCCCGTGGCCGGTCCCGGTCCGGTACGGGCGCGACACTGAGGGTTGCGATCCGTTGCCGGTCACGAAAAAAGACAAAAAGGAAAAAAAAAAAGAAATATGCACTCTCACAAATTCACACCAATTGTTACAATTCTAGTGGTGAGAGGCAGCGTATCCTGACTCATGTTAAAGTCCTAAGCAGAAGAAATTTTTTTGGGGGGCCGGCCCGGTGGCGCACTGCTACAGTGCGCCGCTTGGGAGCGCGGCGGCGCTCCTGCCGAGGGTTCGGATCCCACATACAGACCGGTTCCCGCTCACTGGCTGAGCGAGGTGCGGGCGTGACGCCGAGGGTTGCGATCCCGTTGCTGGTCCCGGTCCAGGCGTGACACTGAGGGTTGCGATCCGTTGCCGGACACGAAAAAAGACAAAAAGGAAAAAAAAAAAAGAAGAAGAAGAAATTTTTTTTTTAAATCTACTGTCAGTTTTATGAACTATTCATTTTTCTTTGGCTTATATGAACTGTGTCCTTAAAATATTCAGATTGTCATTTTTTAAAAAAACAGCACTTATGTATAAAAATGAGTAGCAATGACACATTGTTCAAAACATTTTTGATGCCACTTTGAAAATTATCCTTGTACCGCCATCTAGAGCTCAATGTGTTCATGGCATTGTACTTTGTGTTCAAGTGGTTATTAACTTTTATCAGTTAAGCATTTTATATTTAAAATACTTTAAATCAGACTTTAATTTAAATGGATTTTCTCTACAATTACAAAACAAAGTTTTTTCATTATCACAAACAGATGACTTTGGCTTAAACTATTCATAATATAATCTCAAAAGTGAAAAAAAGAGTAGTTTTAATCTATTTAAATGTGTTTTTTGGAATTTTGTATGCTTGATTTAGATATTTCCTGTTTTTGTTTTTTTAGCTTGTGGTCTGGGTTGATCCTCTGGATGGTACAAAGGAATATACTGAAGGTCGGTGTCTCTTGTATTTGTATTAGACAGCAGTAGGATTAGGGTGTGATGTTTAGTTGTAAACATTTGATATTTCATATGTTGTGTGAAAAGCTGGTATCATGTTTTATGTTTTTCCCTAAAGCTCTATTTGTGCTCATGGTAGCTAACTGTTATCTTACATTGGGGATTGTCATGACTGATTGAGAAAATTTATCTCCTTCATATATTACCCCTGACATACTTCACCAGCCCCACAATTCTAATGTCCCCCAAACAACCAAAGGGACTGCGCTGAACCCCAGATTTATTGGGGTAGAAAAACAGGGGCACACACGACTGTACTGCCCTTGCTCCGCCACCACCGTCCGTGCCTCCCGCTTACCTTCCTTCCTCTGTGACTACTTTCTCACTTCACGGCCCTATCTTTAAAGATGGGTTTCAAAACAGTACAGTATTCTCCTTCCTGAATCTAAGATGAGAAAAATTAGAAAGCAGCAAATTAAAATAAAGCTGGCAACATAAAAGTAAGATGGACTAGGCTCAGAGCCAGAGTTTTAAGTTTAAGCTTAGAGTTTTATTTTTGAAATGAAGAGCTACATAGATTTTCTTATATTGGTTGTCAGCTTCGTGGCTTAAAAAAAGAAAATCTCTCATAATTACTAGAAAAAACTTTCTCTATCCTTGAATGAAACATATTTCCAATGAGAGAATCATATGGTGTGCGTGTACTGAAAATATCTCTATAATCCATTGAGAAATAGGGAAGCTCTAGAGAGCTTTCGCGTGTATAACAGCACCTAGAAAGCTTATGTAGGTCTTGACCCCCACCCTGAGAAATTTTGATTCACTAGCTCTGGGAAGGAGTCTGAGAAGATCTGTAATGTAAAAATTATGTCATTTAGTTCTAATGCTGCCTAATAGTCCATGGACCCCACTTTGAGAAACCTTGCTTTAAAGGCTTGAAATGCAAGTCTAGAGAGTAATCCAAAAATATAGAATGAAGGGCCAGTCCGTGGCTCACTTAGGAGAGTGTGGTGCTGATAACATCAAGGCCACGGGTTTGGATCCCTATACAGGGATGGCCGGTTGGCTCACCTGGGAGAGCGTGGTGCTGACAACACCAAGTGGAGGGTTAGGATCCCCTTACCAGTCATCTTTAAAAAAAAAAAAAAAAAATGATTCAGCAGATAAGAGTGAGTTGGATGGTGGTAGAAGGAGCATAGAGGAATCATGATGGCTGCCTTATTTATTTAGTTGATATACAAATTGTACTAATGAGACCATGATTATCAATTCAGTTGGTGGTCATAGACCCTATTTCTGTCTCTGCCCATCTCTCTTATAATTTGTGCACTTTGCCATGAGTAGGATTGATCATGGATGAATCATTGCAAATTCCACACCTTTACTACAAAAATAACTTGTAGTAATTGATGTACTGATGATGAGTCATAACATGAAAAAGTTATAATTGATACTTATTTCTTCTTTACAGGTCTTCTTGACAATGTAACAGTTCTTATTGGAATTGCTTATGAAGGAAAAGCCATAGCAGGAATTATTAACCAACCATATTACAACTACCAGGTATTACTATAAGTGATACAAAAATATTTTATTAGATAAATAATTATAGTGTTATATGATTCCTAGTGTTATCTAATCCAATGGTTTCTAACTTGGTTGCACATGCAGTTATTTAGGGAGCTTTTCAAAATACAGATTCCCAGGTTGCATCCCAGACCAATTGAATCAGAACCTCTGGGGGCATTTATACCAGGAATGTATATTTGCATATGTATATATATGTATGTACGTATGTGTACACAGACACACTGTATACATTATCTAGGTTTTTAATGTATTCCTTATGATTTAAATGCAGAAGTTTGGGAATTACCGATATGTTTCTTGATTAGCTCAGTCATCAAGACACCTGATTTACAGGTAGTTCTTGAAGCACACTGAAGAAATGAACCATTTCAACAAAGAAAAGATGCTAGCCATGTTGTTTTCCAGGTAATACCACATAGTGCCTAAATTGTAGTCAGTATTGATAACAGAACTAAATACGCTCTTGCACTCTTTTCTCTTACTGTCTCTTCTAATCTGCCTTGACTTTGTTATACTTCAAAGAAATTGCCTTCCTTAGAAGCAAGAGACTAGTGTAATTTCAAAGCAAGAATATACCATTAAATCACATTAAAGTTTAAAGGAAATTGTTGAGATAAAATACATCAATATTTACATGAAATGTGATTTTGACAGAACTTTGGAGAAACAAAGTAACCAGAGTGGGGACTGTTACTTCTGAATTGCCGATTAAAATATGGTTAAGAGCAGGATTAATCTTCACTTCTAGTATAAATTTATTTTTTCTTGCTGTTTGTATGATTATAAAATTTTATTTATTATAAATTTTATTTATAATCATGTGTTTCTTTGGATTTACCAAAATAGTTATACATTATTAGGAAAGTCTCTCAAATTGAATCACGTGTCCATTAATTCTTTTAATATGACTTTAATGTTTATACAGTATTATATACAGACACAACTTTGTGATTTTTATGTAAACTTTCAAGGAAGTTAATATTATTACTTAAAAGAGGGGCATTTAATTCATAGAAAAAATTATAACACATGGCATCTTTCATAAAAAAAGATTAAATGCTTAAGGGTTGTTATTAATTTTATTACTTCTTTCTGAGATTAGAAAAATTGTATTCATTTTCTACAGAATAATGAAAACCAGAAGTTAAGGGAACACAGGAATGAAGCAAAGGGGAGAAAAATAGCAAGGGTTCTGGCTCCACTAGTAGGCAGAAGAGAGGTAGGCAACTTGTCTTACCCCAGGTAGTCACTGTGCACCCCATGCACCGGCTCATTTTCTCCTGTTTTGTTCTCTGCATTACCTCTCCCTTTGCCACATTCTCTTCTGTACACTCTTTATCCTCTCTGTTCCTTCTCTCTTGTTTATGCTTTAAAATTTGCAAAAAATTGAAGTAGGAAAGTTGCTCAGCTGTATTGGTGGTATTCAGGGCTCAAGATTCCATTTTAAATAAGCATCATCACCATAGTAATAGCTAAAATTTATCAAGAGTTTAAGAGCTTACTGTGTGCTGCCAGGTGCAAGGGATTCACTTGCATTATCTCAAATAATACTCACTGCAGCCCTTTCAGGAAACCATTATCCTCATTTTAAAGAAGAGGAAACTGAGGCAATTAACTTGCCCAAGGTCACCCATTGGTAAATGGCAGAGCTGGGATTCAAACTCAGGTCCAATCCTTAACTGTTACTCGATATTGTTCCCTTGAGCGAGATGAAAGACTTCACTATTCAAATTTTATTATTGCTTGTAACAGATACTGAAACTGGTATGTACTTAAAGGAACAGTATGGCATAGTACAAAGAAACCCTATCAGTTTTCACATCAGAGCTAGCTTCTTAGCCATTGTGAAACCTGTTTATTAATTCAGCGTTAGCCTTTACTACCCTTAAAGAATTGGTGTGGAGTCTTTGAAGGAGAGACACAGTGAGAAAGACTTCGAGATCAGGAGCAGAGAGGAAGGCCAGTTGGTTGCCTTATGAAATTGTATTTACCTCACCAGGACACCAGATTCCTCAGTCCCATCCTCTTTGCCTACATATTTATTTACAGAGGGAATATGACTTTTTAGTCCACTGTTTAGTATGCTTTCTTCTTTTTTTGAGAATAACTGGGGAGCTAACTCAGCATAACTGGGAATTAATAAATAGGTTTCTTGGGAGCATGGAACTAGTCTCGGCAATCAAGCTAAGGCCTAATGGAAACTTAGAGCCTCTGTACAGGCCATCTGTGCTTTTCAGATTCCGGGCTACTCCTGCAGGGGGCCAGGCGGGAATAAACGAAGCACACTAGCATTTATTGAGAACCCGGTGCTTGTTCTTTGCTTCCTCTGCTGCCCATCTTCAGGGAGTACCTCCAGCAGTTAGCATCTTGGGATTGCCTCACCTGTCAAGAGCTGTCTCACCCAGGGTCACATCCTTCCCAATGCAGTCCATTTCCATGCCTGCAGGAGTATAAAGGCCTAGCACTTGATCACCACTTGGGATAACCCTGAAGGGCCGTTCTAGCTCCAGAGTTCCCCACAACATCAGCTGAAGCTGTTGTTGGGCTTGCATCATAGCTCATTTTTTCCCTCTGCCCAGGCCTTCCTTCCACGGATGTGCATCTCAAGCACAGTCCTTAACAAACATCCCACCTGTCTCAGAGTCTGCTTCGCAGGAAACCCAACCTGCAGTATAAGCATATTTCACTATAAAAGTACTCAGGGTACTGCTCTAGGACAAATAAGATGTGTTTGAAAATGTTTTGACAAGTAAACTCAGGCAGTCTAACTTTGTGATGGAAAATACTGGCTCTGACTACATTTGAGCCTGGGTTTGGTTACAAACTTCCTAGAGTCCTTGGTCAGGCTACATAATGATTCCAAATCTCATTTTTCTCGTCTTTAAAATAAGCATGATAATATCTACTTCATGAGGTTGTTTTGAGGATTGAATGAGATAATACATTTAAAGCACTTAGTATGGTGACTGGTACATGTTTGGTATTCAGTAAAATATATATATGTCTACTATATTAACATAATCATAGTTTGATGACTTTGTATTAATCATTTTATATATCAATTTTACTCTCCATGAAATACAGGTTATGTTTTTCTATATGAAGTGTGTAGTTATAACAATGTGGTTAAAAATTTTGAGTTCTGCAAATTGGAATACAGATTTGAACACTGAATTATCATTGTCATTTTACCACCACAGTTGTCAGTAAGATCTTAACCCTGCCCCATTCTCCATGGCTACTCATCAGTATCAGTCTATTCAGTTGCTGTGTCTCTGTAGCAGCAAAATAAATTCTCACCATCCCCTATTCGCATAGTAACATGATCCTTATTGTTCCTAGGATAATGAAAAGTAGTAATTAATACATGGTGTTTCCATTTCCTGGGGACTTCAGTACCTTTGGAAAACGGATGTTTTCAAATATGAAGGTACTTCAAAAAGTTTGCGTAAAAATAGAATTAAAAGATAATACAAATCTTTCCATGAACTTTCAGAAGACCCCTTGTACAACAAAGAGATCACTGAATGATTTAGAGAGAAACCATAATGAGTATATGGTGTTTCCTTTCCTGAAGTCTCCAGGGAATAACCAAAAGTTCCCTTCAGTACCTTTGAAACTATTAACCAAAACAGTAATGAGAATAATCAGCTGATCCTCTCAGGAAAAGTTGTCAATGATATTGTTCTTGTACTTTATAGCATTATTGTGTCTTTATTTTTAAAAAATCATGATGCTGATATAACTAAATATTCCATTTATGGCTAACACTTTTCTCCAAATGATTATAAGCTTTGTTGTTGTTTCACTTGTTTATATAGGCGGGACCAGATGCTGTGTTGGGAAGGACAATCTGGGGAGTTTTAGGTTTAGGTGCCTTTGGGTTTCAGCTGAAAGAAGTCCCTGCTGGGAAACACATTATCACAACTACCCGATCCCATAGCAACAAGTTGGTTATTGACTGTGTTACTGCTATGAACCCTGATGAGGTGCTGCGAGTGGGAGGAGCAGGAAACAAGGTAGGAAACAGGTTTGTCTTCTGCTCAGAAATGCAATTGAATCATTGAAGGAGATACTGAACTTTTTAAAAACATGAAATAAGAGTTTAAGAAAAGGGATCAAAGGTTATACTTTGCCACTGAAAGCCCATTTCAGCAACATTTAAATTTTAAAAAGAAATCAAAGGCTCAATTCTTTTTTTCTAAGAGTTTAGTATTAATAAAAGTCATCAGGATAAGACCCCATGCCTCTTGCCAAAGACCTTATTTTCCCAAGGACCATCCTGGATTATTCCCTAGATCTTCTTCTATGGACAATAGGGACAGGCCAGCCTGCCCCCTTCCTGAACATCCCTTCATTCTTTCATCCTTCTGAGAGGATTGTGAAATGGGACATGATGTGATCTGCATCCCTAGCCCGGATCTCTTCTCATCTGATTGTCCCCTGGACATCATATTGGTGACATCCTCAGATATCTCAAATTTGATGTGTCCAGTTGGAGCTCATCCTCTCTCCACCTGCTCCCAGGTGTATTGTTTTCCCTATCTACTATCTGGTTAATGGCACCACCATTTTCCCAGTTGCTCCAACCAGACATCTGAAAGACATCCTAGGCTCCTTCCTTCCTCACAGTCTCTCAATCTGGTCTTACCTGTATGTCGTCTTAATACTTCCTTAATGTCTCCTCTGGTCCATCTCAACTGCCAGTACTATAGTAGAAACCTATCATCATCTCTCACCCAGACTATTATAGTTGCTTCCAAAGTGGTGTCGCTGTTCAACTCAGTCTTCGTAAATGCCACTGGAGCAATTAAAAATGTAAAACTTCTCCCTTGTTTCAAATCCTTAGAAGACTGCCCTTTACAACACTTTGAAATCCACACCTGTTAGCATGGAACGTAAAGCCTTCTGCATCCTGGTGCTGCACGTGCCCAGCCTCATCTCCTACTGTCACCTCTCATGGAGTGATGGAGATGCAAAAGATTACTCAGAGCCCAGGTATTCAGAGCAATGAGAAGCCCAAAGGGACTGTACTGAGGAAAACTCCTTCAAGAGAGGAGAGCCCAGGCACAGCCCCAAGTCAGTTTTTCCTTCAGTTTCTATTGTGAAGTCAAGAAAGTTACAGAAGAAAAACAGGTGTTTAATCAGTCATAGTGAAAACATAAACAAACTGGCTTAGTGACAATCTTCATTAAAGCAGGCATAGTTTAAAATAGTTCGAGCAATTTACCATCAAAAGGAGTCATAAAACTAAGCTATGTGACATACAAAAAGAAACAATGAGACAATCACCAAAGGGCCTAACTCCCCAAGAAACTCAAAGAAACAGCTTAGGGCAAGATGTGAATGCCTCCCAAGCACTAACTAGCAGAATATCCTTGAAGATTTTAGCTCACATACTTTCCCAGCATCTAGGTTTAGCTGCACCAAAGGCAACTGCCCCCAGAGCAATCACTTTTCGCTGCGCTTCAATTCTGTTATCTACATCAAAGGCTTTAGTCCTGTGAAAGTTTTCTGGTGTTTTCCAATCTTAGCATTTCTACATGTTTTCCTAAAGGGTTGGGCTTTGACCCCCTAAGATAGAGGCCCTGGCTTCCTAAACTAAGGACTTTGGTCCTTCTAAACTGCAGGCTTTGGCCTACACTACAGGCTAACCTAAAGATTTTGGTCCTCTACACTACAGTACTTTGGTCCTTCTAAGCTACAGGCTTTGGCCTTGTGAAATGCGTGTGTTTTATTTCTATCTCAATGTCAGTATCCTCCACATCCTACTGTCCCTCAGCTCATACTGTAGTGATTCTGAACTGTGTGCAGTTCTTGATACGTGTGCATTGCACACGTGTGTACCTATCACAGGAGAGGCAGATAATAAATATTTATTGAACTGGATGGAATTCATTTCTTGTCATTTGTGTTTTGGAAGCAATACACAACTATGTTTAGATTTTCTAAAGGCATTTACTGACAATGATGAAAAATGAAAGTTTAAAAAACACGTAAAAAAAAAATCTAAAACATTTAAAAGTGAAAATGTATTCCTGGTATTCACCAAAATAGAAATAGTGGCAAGTATGATTGCTCTTTGCCCCTTACTTTTATAATTACAAAAGCCCATTTTTCTCTTTTATTCCTAAGGAACACTCTTCTCCTAAGTAAAGTCCTCATCCTGCACATGTCTACCTTTCTCCTCGGAAAAAACCTTGTTGGGCAATTCTTAACTATTTTACATCAAGGACCCCTTTGAGAAGGTTATATGTAGCCCCTCTCACCTCAAAAAAATATACCTGGCATAGTTCTTCCCACATAATATAAGATTTGACACATTTGTTATATGAAAGAAAAAGCTTTTTACTCAAAAGCCTGCAGCAAGGTTGTTCGATGTTCACTGAAATTTTCCTCATTCTCTCAGTCTGGTCTCTTCATCTGAATATCTGAAGCCTGAATTTTACAGTAATAATTATTTTACAGTATAATGAAAAAATTTCATTGGCGAATGAAAGCCTGATAGCAAATTACTGTTTAGAGTCATGCAAGTTCTATCAGTGACCTCAGTTTTGTATGAATATTACAGGAATTGTTAGGATGATATTTAAAAGTTTGCATTTTGGTACTGGAAGTAGCAATAGATGTGACTCCAAAGACTTATGAAAGTACTTGTTAGACTAGTCAACATTGTACATATGTTAGGACTTACTACAATTTATACATTATTGTACTGCTTTATAAAGCAGTACAATAATGTACTGCTCTATCTTTTATTTAATAGTCAACTTTTTAGAAGTTTTAAAAAGTTTAGTTTTTCTACAATAAATATATATTTCTTTTATAGTAAGAAAGAAAAACAACATGAATAAAAAGAAAACTTTATTTTGTTTTATTTTCTTGGCGGCTGGCCAGTACAGGGATCCAAACCCGTGACCTTGGTGTTATAAGGCTGTGCTCTAACCAACTGAGTTGGCAGGCCAGTCTGCTTTATTTCATGTAACTTGGAATATGGAGACTGCTCAGTTATCTTCAGATTGCTCTGTTATTTTGCATCTGTTTTATGTATTTCTTCATAATGCTGCTATAATTTAAACCTGCTAAAGGCTTTAACCTAAGTTAAGTCTAACAGAGGAACTGATGAAATATCTTTGATAGAAACAAGTAGTATTATTTGTACCTCAGTCATTTCATGGCTGAGGGATAAGTGCTATTTTCACCTTACAGATTATTCAGCTGATTGAAGGCAAAGCCTCTGCTTACATATTTGCAAGTCCTGGATGCAAGAAGTGGGACACTTGTGCTCCAGAAGTTATTTTACATGCTGTAGGAGGTTAGTCTGTTTTATTGCAGGAAATTAGTTTCTATACAGTTTTTATATTATGCTAACACAAAGTATTTCAATAATATTACTTTACGTAGACTTTTAGGGTATAAAAACTAGAACGAAACTTAGAGATTATTCAGTCAAAACCCCTCATTTCATAGGTGAGAAAGTACATTTTCAGCAAATCTGTTTTTCTTTAGTTATAGTATCTTTTGTGGACTTTGATCTGCATAGTTAATTTCATTTAACCTTATTTATGTCTTTAATGCTTTTAGGGTTTTTTTCCTTGAAAAGTAAAATGTTCATCATCATTGACATTACCTTATTTAGTCTTTTTAAAGCCAATATTTAATATCTCAGTACCGGTGGAGAAAATCATAGTTAGAATTTTTAAAAAATCTGACCAAAAATTTATTACAAATATATATATAGTATGATGATTTTTTCAGTTTCAAGTACACATCTATTTACATCTACTCTTAGTAAACAGTGCCTTTTAAAATCTGTCAGGTAAAAAAAAAAATGGCAGTAAACAATATACATAATTTTTATTTGCATTTCTTCAAATATCAATATCATATTAGCATATTATATATGTTAAATTATACTTCATCACGGTCCATTCTTAATAGGATGTAAAATGAAATTGTAACATAGTTATATTTTATGAACATTCTTCACATAAACTCTTACCAAATAAAATGTTAATATTAAATAGTAGAATGAAGAAAACACTTCTGAAAATATTAATAGTGGTAATGGAATATAACCAATAGGAAATACAATCACCTCAGGAGAAGAGAAATTAATTGATACCAAGAAATCCAAATTGAAAACGTTGAATGAAAATAATTTTAATGAGAAAATAATTTTTTATTCTTTAGTTAATTAAAGTTGCTCCGTGGTCTTAAAGTGAATTAAAATTTTAACTGTATGGTCATTATCTTATTTAATCCAGAATTTATTGGCTACTATTGCATAGGGAAACAAAAGCCACCTAAAAATAACTAGAAATATCATGGTCCCATCAGCTACTGACATTGTACTGTTGTTTTCTTTGTAGGGAAGTTAACCGATATCCATGGGAATGCTCTTCAGTACAACAAAGAAGTGAAGCACATGAACTCTGCAGGAGTCTTGGCCACACTGAGGAACTATGACTACTATGCAAGCCGAGTTCCAGAATCTATTAAAAATGCACTTGTCCCTTAAAGGAGAGTTTCATTTACTTAGCTAGGAGAAGGACTTGGTTTTCAAAATAATACATTAAAACTAATCATGGCATTAGAGCTCCACATTTATTCATTGCTGATCTGTGATTTCTCTTTACTTAGGAGAAGAAAATAGAATTAAAGAATTTAGCATGATTAATTAATCAACCAGACCAATTTTGGCATCTGGAGAATTTATAAACTTAATATTTCTTTTTCTCCTTTTATGTAGAGACATGAAAAAAAAGGTTTACTTAAAACTGACTATCCAAATCAATTGTTTAATCAACATTCCTATCTTGTAAACCATATTTCTTTAGGGCACAGAACTGTAAGTTCCTAGAATCTCACTCTTATTTTCACAGTAATTTTTAGAGCGTTCTACTCCAATTATGAATACATATGATGTTATTATGTATGTTGATGAAATAGATGTACGGGAAAAGTTTCTTTGAAATAAGTTATTTAATCCTTGCTCTTTGTTATTCACCAGCTTTTTTTTTTTTTTTTTAAGTATTTGAAAATGATAAATTCTCTACTATGGGGATTAGTTTATTCTTATGGCATCATTATAAGTCTTAACTGTGGAGTGTTGAGTAATTGCCTTTATTCCTTCCAATGGGAGGGGAGATTATAACATCTACTATTAAAATTATTGTCATTATACCTAGACTTTTATTTTTAGTTCTGTGTTCATTGCTTTTAATTTCTCTTTCTGGTTTTGGATTCAGCAAGTGGTTTAAGTTAATAGCTTCCAAACTCAACTGCTTGTCAGAATCGCCTAGGAAGTTTTTTAAAAATGCAGATTCATAGGCTCCATCCCAGCAATTTGATTCTGTATATTTTAAGAAGGCTATTTGGGAGGCTTTGATAATCAGTTAAATGTAGAACTCATTAGATAAGGTAATACAGTATTATTTTACAGGGGCATCATAATCGAGCAGGAAGAGGTCTCTGTGGCTTTGACGCCTTTGATCACGCCCTCTTGCAACTCTCTTCTCATTGTCCTGATTTTCTTCTTCCCCCTTCTAGCCAGTCTTAGTCTCCTTTTTTGCTTTCTCTTTGTCTTCCCTGAAATGTCACTATTCACCAAAATTCTGTTCTAGACTCTCTACTTTCTCACCAGATGATCTAACCCACTCATATGGCTTCATGCAGGGCCCTTTGCTCATAAATCCAAAATCGTTACCTAGATTAGAACTCTCAGACTCTAGATCTATATACCCAAAAAACTGCTTTGATACTGTTCAGATATCTCTAAACTGGAATGTCTAAACAGCTCCTCATTCTTGTGTAGGCAAATGCTTCAGGATAAAATGCAAGTTCCTTATAAAGGTATATGAAGTTCTTAATGTTATGGCTGCTTCTTTCTCCAGGATCAACTTGGTCACTAACCTATACTGCAGGCATGCTCAACCATTTAAAGTTTCCCCAAAACACCATGTTTTCTCTCACCTTGGCCTCTATTTATTCATTCAACAAATATCTATTGAGCAACTGCTATATGTTAGGCACCAAACATAGGTAATGAACATTCAGTAGTGGACATAACACTGACCATGAGTCTGTTCCTTTGCTGAGATCATGTTCTTTTAAAGCAAGACATAATAAATGACACTATTTTGGATTGTGGTAAATGCTATAAAAGAAATCGATTAGGAAGATGAGCTAGAAAACAACTGGGCAGGGTGGGAAGGCTGGAAGAGGATCTCCTTTAAATGATAATAGGATATCTTCTCTGTGCAAGTGCTGTCTGAGCTGAAAAGGTGAAAAGAGATCAGCCATGCTAAGAGCTGAGATTTCTAGAGAGACTAACAAGCACAACATCTCTGAGAAGAGAAAGAGAAAGAACAAAAAGGAAGCAATAGTGGCTGAAGTATAATGAACAAGAATAAGTGTTATAAAATGAGGTTGGGGAGAGGTAGGAGTCAAGTCATCTGTAGCCTTAAAAATTGTTTTTAAAAAATGTTTTAAGTGTTGAAATGGAGAGTGACTGCTAACAGGGACAGTTTCTTTTGGGGATGATGAAATGTTCTAAAATTGATTGTGGTAATGATTTGACAACTCTGAATTGTAGACTTTATTTTATTTATTTATTTGTTTTTGAATTGTAGACTTTAAACAGGTGAATTGTATGGTATGTGAATCATATCGCAATGAAACCGTTAGAAAAAATTAGGTGGCCACGTGGCTAGTGCCTACCATGTTGTATGGCACAGCTCTGTGTCCTCTCCTGGTTTATCTCGTCAATTTTAACTACTACTCATGTCTTCAGGATATTTCAACTGAGTCCCAGATTTATAGCCTGCATATGCTACAGGATATTTTCATATAGATTTTACAACATCTCAAAACATCAGTCTGGGAGCAAATACTTTGCCAAACCTGTTTTCCCTTCTTAGATATGACATAACATCCACCCAGTCATCCAACCTGAAATCTAGAAATAAACCTAGACACCCTTGCTTCTTTCACCATCTCCTCCCCCAGCATCTCATTCGTCACCATTGATTCTACCTCCCAAGTACATCTGAAACTTGGTCTCTAATTCTCAGTTATTTTTCCACTGCCTTAGTTTAGGTCTCATCTTTTATCTCCTTTCACGTGGACTGTTGTAACAGCATCTTAGCTGGTCTCCATACTGCCCACTCCAAGCCATCTGCTATACTATTATCAAAGTGATCTTTACAAAATGCAATCCTAATAATATCTCTCACTCCTGCTTACAAGACTTCACTGACTTCCTATCATGGTAAAATCTAGGTCTTCAGCATGATATATAGAACTCTCCTTAACTTAATCTCTGCCTACCTTCCTGCCTTTTAATCTCTTGTTTCCAAAATATTTTACATTCTGGCAATAGAGACTGGTTAGTTTACCAAATACACACAGTTTCCTGACTTCTGGCTTTAGCTTATGTACTTCCTTTGACCTTTCCATTCCCTAAATATGCCATCTCCTACCGGAAGCTTTCCTTTACCATAAGATATAGGACATATAAGTATTGGATAGTAAAAAAATATCTAGAAAATCCAACAGAATCAACTAAAAAATGATCAGGGCTAATAAACGCATCCAACAAGATGGTATCTCTTAAGACCTAAGATTCTTTCTGCTATGTCCTGCTTGAAAGTAGGTTTCTATTTGTGTACTGCAGTACACCCTTTTTTGTCATTTTTATTGACAATACCCATTTCCTGGATGATTCTATGCTTCTCAAAATCAACACTGACTTGTATCTGGGACTGAAGAGTAATAAAATTGCAAAACTCTAAACAAATGAAGTATTATTATGACTTCTAGCACTCATCTCTGACCTCCCCACTAAGCTTTACTCTTCTGAACTAAAGCATTTATGGATTCAACCAGTTATTGGGCACCTGGAATGCTCTGCTTTTCAGAGCCTTCTGTGTTACTCTGACAATAGTAGAATGTATGAATGACAGAGATGGAACTAAAAAGATCTCAAAAGTTAAAATCTAGCAGTGATATTTAAAAGGAGAAAATTAGTTCCATCAAATACTCTGGATCAAGCCAATTAATACATTAATGCGATTAACACATGCAATGTCTTACATTAGGTAACTAGAGAATAGAGATTTGAGTCACCTATAATTTTAGTATGAGTCAATGGCTTAATGTGTCTGCAAAAAGCTAATGTGGTGTGTGTTAATAGCATTGTAATGGGCAGAATAAAAGTGACGATACTTCTCCCTATGCTCTGCCCTGATCACACCACACCCAGAACATCTTGTTCAGTTCTGAGTATTGCATTTCAAAAGGCACGTTGACTAACAGGAATATGCTTGGAAGAGGGCAGCTTCAAAATATCAAAGTCTTCATAGTATTAGCACTCTGTGAACACATTGCTTACTACGTAGAAGGAAGCTATGACCAAATCTGGAATAGCTACCCCAAATGAGTCACATTGAGTATAGGTGATGAAGTGGAAACCATGGAGGAATGTGACTTTCATCTTGGAGTTCTGAATAGTCATAAAGAAAAGCTGAGCATGATAATACAAGTTCCCTCTTCTTAATTAATGGTATTGTATAGCACATTACAGTTTCTTTTTTTTCCCCAAGCATTACCTCATTTAACTTTTAAAACTGAGGCACACTTAGAGAAAGACAGACATTATCCTTTGGCCATTTATGATACGTTGATCAAGAAATATAAGAGATTCTTTTATTGCTTTATGTTTGAATAGAATTATGAATATATATATAAAATAATAGATAAAGCAGATATGTAATATAAAGGCCAAAATAGCTCTAGAAACTGAAGTGGCAGCAAAAGGAGCTCTTTGCTAAGCTATTTTAGAAGGATAAATATATTGGGCCGGCCCCGTGGCACACTCGGGAGAGTGCAGCGCTTGGGTGCACAGCAGCGCTCCCGCCGCGGGTTCGGATCCTATATAGAGATGGCCGGTGGGTTGCGATCCCCTTACCGGTCATAAAAAAGACCAAAAAAAAAAGGATAAATATAAAAACAGAAGTTATGTAACAATGATATGACTACCCTAAGTTCAAGTAAAATGTTTTCTGTAATTTACTAGCTAAAAGATACCATCAATGGAAAAAATGAAGCAGTCATTTATGGGACCATTTTTACAAGGCTGAACAAACAGTTCCAATTCTCTCTTGTGTTTGTATATATGCTTAAAAGACATTCTGTTTTAGTCTGTGTTGCTATAACAGAATACCTGAGACTGGGTAATTTATAGGATAGGACTCAGAGGCTTCTGCAATACCTTCTCTTGATAATCCCTTTCCTTTGTACTAATCTTCTTAGCTTATGTTTGCTGGGCTGCACCACTACATGCTCTTTGCTTCTCTACCACATGGCCAGGCTGCAAATTTTCCAAGTCTTTACGCTCTGCTTCCCTTTTAAATTCTGGCTTTATGTTGTGCTTTTGCCGCCATAACTCAGCATAGGCTGTTATAAGCAGCCATGCAGCTTCCTTAATGCTTTGCTGCTTAGAAATTTCTTCCACCAAGTACTCTGGTTCACAATTCCTAAGTTCAAACTTCCACAAAGTCCTAGGGCATGGGCACAATGCAGACAAGTTCCTTTCCAGTT